CCGACAACTCACACTAACCTTGCCTCTTCCCCATCACAAGCTTCAGATCCAACCAACTCGCCACAGACGATCCACAACTGCTACAGCCCCCTCACCTCGGCCAACCTCCAACAACAATGCCGCTCTCTAACCTCCTACCCGAGATCGCCGACTCCCTCTTGTCCTCCTTCCACTCCCGCAGCAACAACGATGTCGCCGCATTAGCTCTTTAGACCCATCGTACAGCAGCTCCGCTCAGCGTCGCTGCCTCGTCCACAGTCCCTTTGCCTCGTAGGCAAGATCTCATTACTCATTGACTCGTTTTTAGAATTTTTGATATACTGTTAATTAAGTGCGTGCATAGATTAGTTGTAATGTGAATATTGTGACAACCTGTGTGGGATTATTTATGAATGATATTAAATAATGAGAAATATTTCAAAAATAGAAATGGTTGATGTATCTTTTAGGCTCACACTAGTGGTTGGTGTCGTTACTAGGGTTGGTTTGTTGGGCCAAAGTGAAGTGTGTACATCACTTTGGTCAGTGAGAATTTATTTCGTCACCCGAGTTTTGCTTGAGTTCGGACCAGGCAGAAAACAGTTAACGTGTAGTCCTCTGGCCGCATGTGTAGCGGGATTGGGTGCACGTAAGGGATTTGTAAACAGTCAGTTATTTTGGAAAGCGAGGCGTGACAGGTTTTTTTGGTGGCCCATACAGGTCCTGGTCTTGAGTTCCTACCAGTGAGAATATAATGAATAATTTAGACGCATATCATATTTTATCCGTAAGGTTATAGTTAGCCATTATCCTATCATCTCGATGAATTATTTCTGAGACCTTACCTTATCACTTTTTGACTCCAAAACTTCTCACTGTTTCTTTTCTCGTCACTTCCCGACTACACTCTCTTTGTATAACTTCTCTTTCCTCGTACCGGCCGTTATTATATATGTTGTTATTTTTACAATTATATTTTCTTTGATTTGACTTATATATCATTTAACTGTATTGATTTCTACATTATTTTATGTATCATACATAGTGTTATATTGTATGTTTTTATTAAAAATATATATCATTAATTATATATTTTTAATTATTCAAATCATGTCATTAAGTGTTTTGCATTTCTTTAGATTTCACATATACATCACATAACATATTTGATATTTAGATTATTTTATTATGTTGAATTATACTTTTGCATATCTACATTATGTATGTGTGCGTTTTCTGACATACCATCTATTATTTACTTATGTTCTAGATTATTTTATAGTGTTCGTACTTCATGATATACTTTAATAAGTTCATGATTTTAATATTCTACATATGCACTATATTCTTATCCTTTACATTTTCAGTACATAGTTTTCTTATCAGTCAGTTTTGTCTTGTTAGATTGTTTTAGTATATTCACATTAGTTTCGTTATTCCTAAGAGTAATGTATTTCTATTTTGATATTTAGGCATTTATTCATGTTGTTAGGTTTGGGGTTTGAGTTACTAATTATATATGTTTTTGTTACATTAACTTGTATCATTAATTATTATCCTTTTATAATTAATATAAAGATAATTCAAAATAGCGTTTGTGGGTATGTATGGAATTTACTCATGGGTTATTAATGGTGCATTTGCGTATTTGTTGTCATTGCTTTATTTTCGATATGTATTATTTTGTCATATTGGAAATATTCATTTTTTACGCATGTTATTTTTTAGTGTTTAGTTTATAGTCTTTTTTCAAATTTTTTTGTCTTTTTGTTTCATTGGTTGTTGTTTATTCTCTATTCGTTATTTTCGTTTACTTGTGTTGTGTTTTATTTTTTCATTCTTTTATACTTACTATTCTGTTTTCATTATAGTGTATTCACGTAAATTATTATATTTATGATGTATATTTTTATACTCATTTATCAACTTTATCTAATCATGTTCTATTTCATGTGTTATCAGTGTTTATGTTCACATATTCATTAATCATTTATGGTATATTTATTTTCAACATATCGGTGTTTTTATTATACAAATTTATGCCTTCTTACATTTTTATTTGTTATAAATTTATTTTATCTTACATAGTCATATTTTATGTATTATACATCGTTATTTATGTATATTTATACTAATTGTATTTATATGATTTTGACTATTATGCTAAATATTGCTACATCTGAAATATTTATTATTGTTATATCTTATTATATTTATTATTTTACCTTATGAATATTACTATATATTGCTATATATTGCTACATTTGAAATATTTTAAATCATTTGTTTACTCTTATGTCTATTTTTATCATATAATATTTTGTGACTATTTCCATCATAATATATCTTGTTAGCATAATTTATTTTGTGTTATCATTTTTAACAGCTATTATATATGATGATTTTATTTTCTATATTATATAAACGTGTTTAATATTGATTTAGTATTGTGTCTTGTATGATAATTATTTACAGCCATATGCTCTCAAAATTATTGATTATAACTATAACTATTTTTATTTAATTCATCATCATGTTCTATCTTTACTGTTTGCTTTTTTTATTATTATATCTATGTTTTCTTACGTGTGTTTATATTTTTACTACTTTAAACATATGTTGCTATAATACTATCTTTAAATCTTTTTAACATAGTTACAAATTTTTATTTTTGAAATTTGTGCCTTATATGTCTTATTTAGTTAAATGTAATTTGCTGAATTGCATTCATGTGTTTGTTTGTAATTATACTTTTGTATATCTTGAATGTCTATTCTACTAACTAATTGTATGATATTCTATTGTGATTTAATTTTTATTATTTTCATGTCTCTTTATGTTGTCTATTATGTTGTCTAAACTATATGTATGTTTGATTCTTTGCTATTTTGTTTGCTTACGTACTATTTAAATGTTTCTTTTTCTTTGATTATATATAATCCATCTGTTATTTGTATTGTGTTACTATTTAAATGTTTCTTTTTCTTTGATTATATATAATCCATCTGTTATTTGTATTGTGTTTTCATGTTTTGTGTTTTATCATGTTTATCATCAGCTTACGTATGAGTGATTTATACTTTGATGAGACATTTTTATCTTTTATCTTCTTTAAGTTATTCGTTTAATTATTTATATTGTTGAGTTGATATACTTTATGATATGTTCTAGTGATTGATAATTATTTGAATTATGTATTTATATTTCTTATTATATTTTTATATGTTATAGTTTGTTATATTTTGCTAATTCTGTGTTATTGATTATATTTTTAACACTGTGATGTATTGTCTTATGATACTATATAAATAAT